GATGCAGCTTCATTGAACTCAGAACAGAACAGAGTAGGATAGCCAGATCCTAGATCCCAAGAGTTTGATGATACCGTGGCGCAGTTGCCAAGGTATTGCCCCAGGCGCCAGGAGTCGTGGGTACGATTCCCACATGAGACAAGTAATTAACCCACAGATGATCGTTTCAGATCTGAGTGTTTGTCCATATGAAATTTATGTTTGTAAAACATCCTTACAAGACAGAATAATGTTATCCTATATTAAAGGGGCAATGAGTTAGGAGAAAACTCTACAATAGATCTTTCTAGGTCACAGTGGTCGTTGGGAGTTACTACCCAACTCCTACCACCCAAAATACAAATACTAATTACCAGAGCTTGATATGTCATGAATGTATTGGATGCATTATGTAACCGGAAGAAACGTCACCTATGTTCATAGAGCCTCAGTAAGGACCCGTGACCCCGATGGTCTTTGATTGTATTAATCTGAGTGCGGTGAGAACCAACCTGATTCCACTTGTATATGTACGTACGTGTTCTACGCAAGCCATGTGTAACATAAACTTATACTTTAAGGGCATTTTGCTTATCTAACGAACCCGAGTGTTGGCCGGATACAAACGCGCCATTCTCTTACATTTTGAATGTACGGACTAAATGTCATTTAGGCTTCGAAAGTGACACTAACATGTATTGTACCTTCTTCTCTCGAGGAATCGGGTGACAGTTTAAAGAAATTTTCCCTAGCAACCTGTTCCTCTGAGGGACCTCTGACCGCGGTAGGGCAACATTCCTCGGGTCAGGTTATGGATTGGCGAAATTAATCTTTCAATTGTTTTTGATTAAAAATTATCAGGGCTATGTCTACCGCATCTGATTTGATATTTCTTGCCCGTTTCAAACCCGATGTTGGAATGAAATTTCTACTTAAAAATATAAATTTTTATTCCGAAAATTTTTAATGCAACTTGTTTGTTTTAAATGGTAAGCTAATTAATAACTCGACCTTATCTGGTCGTAATCTGAAATGGGAGCAGCAGTAAAGTTATCAAAATCAGTAATAAATGTTTCATGAAAGTGTAAACCCACGTAAAGTTACAAGAAACGCCAAAAGGATTTCCTAGTAACTTTGTGATAGTTTGTGTGAAATCCTAGCGGTTTTGACGCACGCAAAGAAATAGTTAGAGATGTTGACGATAAGCCGTCAAATAAAATGAGCAGTCGGTGGTGGTAAATCGAGGTGCCGAGGTGCGATCGCATCAATTATACTTCAAACTTGAAGGGGAATATTTTTACATAAATTTTATGCTTCCATCGTGTTACATGAACAATTAGAGCGAAGTAAAACAGTCTTCAAACAGAGAACTTTCGTTTGAAGTCTGCCAAAATCATTTCGTGAATATCGTGAACTTATATAATTTTTAAAGTACGAAGAATTTTTTACTTATAATGTGTAAGTTTTAAGTAAAAAATTCCAGGCAATCACCCATAAATAATGTTTCTACTGTTTGTAGCCGGTACACCAATTTGCTCGTCGAGTACAGATCATTCTAGCTTGTGAGGATATGACAGTGCTTATCATCAGGGCATATCTACAGATGGATTCATGCACAACTGCAAAAACCTAAGGTGTGATTGTAAGTACACTGCACGGCTGGTGACAACTGCTAACGAGTGTGCCTATGAGTACACTGAACATGGATCCGCGGATGTCTGCAGATTAATTGTATTGTTCCAATCATGGGATTGGCGTCTCAATTGTCAACATCTCACCTTGACAGTACTGACGCACTACATTTAATTATAAATAATTTCGATTAAAAAAAGTTCTTGTTCCGACTATAGACACTAGCGAAATTCAAATCGCTTCTAGAACAGTTTAAACGAAAGTTCGTTGGGGATTCGAGCTATAAAAGGAGTTCGGAGCTAGACGGGTAAACTCGAGGAAGAAGAAAGTAAGGAAAAACAAGAGGAAGAAATAGTAAAGAAAGTTCACTTTTAGCTGTAGTAGGTATAAGTGATAAGGGGTGTAAAGACGTATGCGGAGGAATGGTGGGGTAACGTGAGTGCCGTCGCACCTGTTAATATTATATCAATGAAGGATTGGTGCACAGGAAGAATTTGAGCGGTATCCAGAGGGCCTTAGCGCACGTTAGTAGTGTAAATAAAGTGAAGGTTTAAATCAGCGGCGTTTCACTCCAATCCCCAACCCCTAGCTAGAAACAGTATTAATAAATATACTACACTATATCACGTGGAGCTAACTGTGAATACCGTAATGAGTACAATGGACGCGCAGCCGCAGACAATGTGGATGTGTTTTAGAGATAACTACACGCTACAAATCCAGTTAGGACGATCCAGATCTAGCTCTTGTCCGAGTTTTCCGTTCTAGTACGTGAAATATGGACAGAGGTGGCTAACGGCCAAGTCGCAAGGCCGACTCGTCGGCGAGGTGTTATAAATGACAGAAAAACCGGTTTGTGCAGTCCAGTGCAACCGTGGATACGCGCAATAAATTGTGAACGTAAAGTCTGCCATGAGCAATTAAGATGAATTGAAATTACTTATATCTTCTGTAATAAATTTTAATGATTTGTATTATAGCTGTTTGTTGTACCTTCAGAGGACGACGCGATAAGAAATAAAATTAGTATTTAGACACATTTTCCTTAAAAAAAAAAGGCAGTGGAGCATATGTAGGTTGTTACCTTACTTAGTGTACTTAGAGATAGCTATGTAAATCTAACCGTTTAGGCTACTGAGCAGCCCAACGTGCAATGTTCATATACACACATGTCCTTAAATAGATTAACGTACTTACGTAGCAAACGAATCACTATACGAGTATATGAACGTTATTCATTTAGTGACTGTTTGCATTATTTACGATGCCCGATGGCATTAAAAGCCATTCGCGTAATGACTGCATTGCAATTGGCGAAATGCGATAACGCCGCTCAGTCCGGCGTCCGGTATTAATCAATCCGTTAAAATGGCACTCGAACAAAACCATACCTATGTAATCAAGTTACGAGTGCGTTCCAAATTTGCGTATGCAATATGATCTGCAGCTTTTGTGACGTATCGTATTACTGACCCTTTTCGACGGATCTGCGTAAATTTCAGTTCAATACATAGGTACATACGTTATAGCCAGTGAACGCATATAAACAGGAAAGCGTTATTGTCGCTCCAAAATGACAAAACGACAAAGTATACCGTGATGGCGCGGGGCTTATAAAGCGTACCGCGAGGCAGTTTTAGGTATGTAGACTTATTTGAACTAACAAATACGTTCATTTCTGTTTGACGGCGCGTGATAACTGTAAGTCAGGGTTGTGGTGCTATTTATTAACAATCACTGGTATGAACGTTCGTCTTCCATGTTTTATTAGCGTTCTCACTGGAAGTTCGCCTATGCAAGTATTAAATAAAAAAACCGACTTCAAACAGGAAACTAAAAAAATTGTCAACGCTTATAACATCTGAGGATTGCCCTCGATTTCTCTGGGATACCATCATCAGATCCGGGTTTCCTTATCATGGTACCACTCTTGAGATATCTGCTTTTCAACAAAAAAGAATCATCAAAATCGGTTCGTAAATGACGAAGTTATCCGCGAACACACATAAAAAAAATATATATTTTATATACGGTTGAATTGAGAAATTTCCTTCTTTTTTGAAGTCGGTTAAAAATTGAAGCATGGAATATTTATGAGAAATGAAAAATTAGGTTTTCTTAATTAACTTAACTCGTGCGTTAACCTAAACATATTTGTATATTGTTACTAATGAAGCCACTAACCAATGCTTGGGATGTTATAGTTCCTCTATTATTTTTTATTTTTTGAAGTAAAACTTTTTTGTGCGCGAATACAAAAACTTTCAATAGCACAAATGAAGAAAATGAAAGTAGTTTCAATAATATAAATTTAACTCATCAATTGGAGTAATTCCTGACTAAAAGTCAGTATGCAAAATTAAATTCATCTAACTTTCTACAATGTTACAAATGTATAGATTTATATCACACTTTTAGTGACGTTTATTTGCCAAGAGGCAAGATAAGCGTTGAAAAAAACTGTAATAAAAATAATCTTGGGAAAAATTCAACGACAAGTTTTGTTAGTATAATTAAGAAGACGAAAATATATGTAAAACTCTATTAAGGGTTGACAACTATTAATTATTTAAAACAAACAATGGAAACGTCTTCAAACTATAGTGTCGGCCCTAATGCCACAAGAGAATTACGTCTAGGTAGCCTGTAAAATAAGCTAGACACGAAGTCGAAACAAATTTCATTCATAAACAGATTCGTATTCATTCGTACGACATGTATAAATTTTCCTTGTTTTTTTTCCAGCCAGCGAAACGTGTAAACTCGATTCATATTCACGCGCGCATTGAGATGTGTACGGTGGTTATAAAATCTTTATGAATCTTATGTTTAAGAGTCTATTTGCTGTTGGAGCGATAACATCATTTAGGCATTTACTACTGATACGTGACGTCTTTATACATATATTAGAATATACATGACAGCGACGTTAACCAAGTCATATCTATTCAAGTTTAATACTGGTACGTTACATATCCAAAAAATGGAAAAATCGCAGGCGGAAAAATTTTACGTAAAAATACAACAATATGAAAAATATAATGTGAGTCACAAGTTCCGATATGCGAATTCAATACACATAATGACAGTTATGATAACACATTTTGAAAAGTCAAAATTGGTAAAAAATAAATTTATGAATCTTGTGAGTGTTTCTCTTGAAATGGAAAACTTTTTAGATATATGTTATGATTTTGCTTCAATTTTAAAGACCATAGCATATTATTTGATAAATTAGTAAATCGTAAAACTCAAACTTCATTCCATTCGTGATGCCCTGATTTCGATGTATTATTGTTAGTACACGATGTACCACACTACATTCACTATTGGGCATGAGTCGATCCATCTGACCGCACGATATCGATAAATTAACTGCGGGCGTACTAACGGTGTCTAGCGATCGTGGGGGCGGCGATGACGACATCGATAGACGGGTAGGGCTGCGACAGCAAGTGATGGGCGGCTGTTAGCTTCTGGCAGGCCTCAAGTCCACAGTATAGGGACTGCCACGCGCACTCCTTCAAACACTCGGCAGTCCGAGACCACGAAAGCGACGATATCCTCATAACGAACACACGTCGACGCGAAATCTCACATTTCACAAGGAGCCACAAAGAATCAGACGAAACACACGGGGCTTTATAGTTTACAATATCAAAAACTCACTACTCGCGCACAGTTCGTTCGCGTTTCGGTCGCGTACCTTGATCTAAAGAGATTAGATAGTAACGAGTTTAATCCAATGGTGTCGATACAATTGCGCGCGTGATTCTGTTCAGTATCGATGTTTCTTATATCGATAAGATATGGCGCGGTGATCGCCACGCCGTTAGACGGTTCATCTGCGCGGAAAATGGCACCGGCGAATATGGTTGTGCTTTGTCTACAAAGTGTACATTGCGTGGGCGTAAGGACGTCCCGCGGCTCAAATAGCGCGATAAGAGACATTGGTACGATAACATCGCGATAACAACGTACTTGGGCAACTATCTATTTGCTCGGTATTTAGTCTATTTTGAAGTATTACACAAAGAGGATTTTAGGTCAACTCGTGTATGCTAGCTTCAAAATATTACGAGTAATATAATTGAAACATTACTTTCTTTTTAATTAAAATTTCTACTTTATTATGGACTACAATAATAATAATAATCTATTAAGTATAAATCTAATAGCCGTGATAGGTCATTGTCCGTTCTCTCGCTTTTAATTTAATACACTCAAGCAATCGGAGTTCGATCCCCGGTGCCGGCACCAATGAAATTATTCATTTTAAGAGCTGACTTATCACGTGCTCCGCAGTGATGGAAAACATCGTGAGGAATCTAGCATATTTTCGAAATAATAATAAAAAAAATATTTCGCGATTATGTAAAGTACACCAATCCGCAGTGGGGCCGCGTGGTGGACTACGCCCTGATACCTCTCATTATAGGAAGCCTTTGCCCAGGAGTGGGACATGTATAGGCTGTTACTATGCAGCTACGACATTGCTACGACGTATTAAGTTTAAAGATTTGTGATTCTTTAAAAAAATGAACTATAATAAGTTAAATATACCTATACATAAAGTTAAACTTTAGGAATATACTCGTAAACTCGTAAAATTTTAATTATAATCAATTTGCAAAATTCCTGAAATTTAAGTAGAAGTCTCTTCGGAATATATACTAAACGCTCGCAGTCAATTAAGGGGTAGAGAGAGAGCTTCCAATTTTCTCGTAAGTCATGTATAAACCCATAATAACACTACCAGATTTCTTAATCATTTTAAGATCTTTTCATTTTTTTATTTGAGAATGGTGATTCTTTCGCAGTAGGATTGGGGACTAGTGGTTAATTAATGTCTCGTCATTAGCGGGCTTGAGTATAATCAATGGCAAACGTTCCGCACAGCTTTTTTTTTTTTTTTTATGCGAAAAGTTGTCAAACGAGTCAGACGGTTCACCTGATGTTAAGTGAATACCGCCACCCATGGACATCTGCTACACTCGAGGGTTACAGATGCGTTGACAACCTTTTGAAAATTGGGCTCCGGCTACCTCACTCACCAGACGAAACGCGAAAGTACTTGTCATACTTCCACTTTACGCCGGTCTTCTGTGAGGTCGTGGTACTTACCCGGACGGGCCTGCCCATTCGTGGAACAGCCGAGGCTGCTGCGTGGCCCTACCACCGTAGCTAGCAAGCTATATTCAAACAACTTAAGTCTCGATTGATAAAGCGATAACAGGCTATGTTCGAGATTATCTTGTGTGTCAGTAAACAAAATCGAGTTATGTTTTGATTTCGTACGATTTCGAACCTTATGGACATCGTAATAAGGAAACAGTTGTGGATTGATAACGAAGAAAAAGAAATAGCAAGCGCTTTTGTATGATAAGTCTGTTCGAAGAAATATTTTTGTTTCGTTTCGAAATTTAAACCAATATTAGTGTACTACAGTTGTAATTATTGAATTAACGTTCATATAATTTTAAAACGGAACTATGCTAATGACAATTATATCTTGCAAAAAATATTCAACTACCAAAATTCTAAGCAAGTGAAGAGATTTCTTATTTCTCTTTTCTTTATTTAGAAAACGATTCATCTTTTGTAAATACATGAAAAATCACAGATACAAACTCGGAAAAACAAGTATGGAGTACAGAATCCTTGTCCAATTTGGAGATCTGCAAAAAGGTACTCAATAGCAGGTGGCTATTGCGCTATCCGTGCAATTTGCATAGAATGTCATTTCTAGCCAGGAATCTTTTTCATAGGATCACCGAATGGGAAAGAACACCTACTGATTATTCCTTTTGATAATTTCTGACTTCTCAAAATTATTGTCAAGTCCTTCATTTGTTTATTATGTCATCTATCAGAATGAGCAACCCACATTTTTTTTTCATTGTGATCAATATGTGTCAGCTGTGTCATTTTTTAGTGCCACCTTTATGTTTAAAATGACAACACAACAACACATTAAAACGTGTGTTCAACTAGACTATGTGTGAAACTGTGCGTACTAGCGTGTCATTCCAATTAAACTATGCAAAATCTTATGATTATGTTAACAGCCCAATTTCCAAAAGGTTGTCAACACATCTGGAACCCTCGAGTGTAGTAGATGTCCATGGGCGGCGGTATTCACTTAACATCAGGTGAACGGTCTGCTCGTTTGGCAACTTTTCACATAAAAAAAAAGATTATGTTAACAAGTTTTAGAAATATTACGATAATTCCATTTTTATGATAACTGTTAAGAAAGATAAAACGGTCAGTATAAGACAGTCATACTGACACTCCTCACTGCGCTCCAAGTCGAGGGGAGTCAGTATGTCACCGGGTATCGCCGGGAACGGGTGACTCGCTGCCGCGGTCAGAAACTCCGTCCAGAACGACCGCATCGTTCAATCTAGCGTTCTATCGATAGCACATCACTAGCGCTGCGCTCGCATCACTGGGCGTTCGCCGGCTAGGGTTGTCGCGTTTGTTTTGGCGCGAGGCACAAACGGGCCAGTGTCGTTGCGGCGGTAGGCGGTGCGACGCGGACTGTTTGCGGTGTAAACACGGCACGGGACGCGTGCCGCGGCCGACTGCCGGTCCCCTATCGTGGTATCAGGTCGACGTCTAAGTCTCGTATCGCTTTGATAAGAACGTTCGTTGCAATTAGGCGGTGCGGCTGATACGGCGCACTGTTCGTTCGGCGGCGCGAAAAATTCACGTAAACTTGTAAAACGTCGTTTTTTATGGTGACAAGCTAGCTGACGGTTAGGTAATGACCGCCGCCCATGGTCATCTGCAACATCCGTGTGGTCCTAGATTCGATGCCGTTCAAAATCCAATCACTTTCACCTCGCGAATTATATACATTCACTTAACGTCGGTCTCCTGTAAATGTCCCTATAATGACAACGGCACCAACACTAAGGGTTTCTTTGTAAAGGAAACAAACGAGCAGGCTCACATAATGTTAAGCTATTACCGTCACCAATGGACGTCTACAACACTCTTACGAACACACTTAAAGGTGTCGTGGACATCGTAAATCGCAGCCTGGTCCGTTTATCTAACACATCAGAAGAAATGCCTAGCCTCTTCACGACGGTTCTCTATATAAAGAAAGTATTGGATGTGGTAATGTATTTTCTTATAGAATAATATAGGATACACATAATGTATATATTAAGTAATAAATGGAATATTTGAGTAATCTGTAAAATTTGATATCATATTCTTGAAGGTGGCAAGCGAGCTGGCGGTTCACCTGATGTTAAGTGATAACCGTCGCCCATGGATATTTGCAACACCAGTAGGGTTCAGGATGTGCTGCCAACTTTTATCGTCTACAACACTTGAGGGGTTGCAGATACGGTGCCAAACATCAAAAAAGTGGGCTGCGGTTACAGATCACTCAAAGGACGAAAAAGTGTAACACTTTCCATTTTCCGATTTCCCATCGGTATTCTGTGTGGTCGTGGTATTTCCTCGGATGGACCCGCCCATTCGTGCAACAGCGAAGATTGTTGCGTGGCCTACTTAACTACCCACATCAACAAACTTTCAAGCAAATTTTATATCGTGTCAAAAGCCAATAAAAAATTGTTATAGTTGAGGACTTTTGAAATTTTAGGATTTCACTGATGTTCATAACAGTATTTTGGGACCATAATAAACTTCCAATACTGTAGACGTCTTTTCATTGAGCAAATGTTTGCCACATAATGTGTGTTTATGTGTTCAATATTTACGAAATGGCGAGTCGGGCAACTCTTCATGCTTTTCAATCTATTGTGGCAATGAAAATACATTCATGCGTATAAAATGTATATTCAAGTTGAGTAAAAATACCTTATTAATTAACTAAACAATGCCCAGAATATAAGGATATCTTATACATTATTGTTTAGTCGTAAATTGATATTTAGGGGCATTGATTTTTCGACAAATAATTTAGTCTCCTTTCTTTCTTGATCCTTCTTCCCTGATCCGATATATGTGTGAATCATGTTATTAGGGCTATATTTTGATGTCAAAACTCCTTTGGATCAAAATACTTGTCCTGTGTGGTAATCGAATCGACGAAGCCAATAGCTTAGCAACTATGCCACGAAGTCTGTATATAAAGAAATATCGTTTTTAAATACTACGAAGTAGTATGTAGAATCAAATAAATTTTATACAGAAGTTTGGTCTCGAATTTTTTTTAATGTGAAAAGTTGCCAAGCGAGCAGCCGGTTCACCTGATATTAAGTGAATACCGCCACCCATGAACATCCGAGGGTTCCAGATGCGTAGACAAACTTTTGAAAATTGGGTTCCGGCCACCTCGCTCACCAGACGAAACGCGAAAGTATTATTATACTTCCACTTTACGCCAGTCTTCTGTGAGGTCGTGGTACTTACCCGGACGAGCCTGCCCATTCGTAAAAATTGGTTTATAAATTTTTCTGAGTAAAAGTTTTAAATAACTTTTGTACAGCAATTATTAAATCGTATCATAGGGAATGGAAGGAAAAGATACAACATTCAAGGGACGATTGAAAAGATAAGGAAAGCCTTGAACAACAGATAGCGATTAGGATTAATAATAATACAATCATTAGAGATTATGAATCTATTTTGAAAGATACGACGTGAAGGTAATGACCTAAATATAAGTTTTTGCCAATAATTCGTTATGCACATATTTCTGGTAAAAAAAATACGTGCAAAAGCAGATTTCCTTATGTTTTCTTACCAGAATAAAATGCATTGACTTTTTCAAAACACGAAGTTATCATTATTTACATATACATTTATAAGAATGAAACTGTTTTTTGGCTTACATGATAAAACAGCTATTTTAGTCTTCCAAAAAAAAAAACACAAAAAAGGGTCGCATAAAGATGTATCGACGGAAAATTTGTGCCAAAAGTTTTGTGATATTTGATTTTATCAAAGCTGATACCTATATGATCACTTTTTAAGCCTTAACTTAGAATTTAGCAATTTATTAGTTTCTATCATATATTAAACGATATTTTTGTCTACGACGAATATCATTTAAATAAACTTTATTCATTTAATATTTTTAAGAAACAATAATATTTTAATTATTAATTATATTAGGATGTTAAATGTCATGTATGCACATTGAAATCAAATTTACTAATAACACAATAAAATACAATATCCATCACCGTTTGTGTAATTCAAAGCATATCACAAATTCCGTTCGTAGTTTGAATAGAATGGAACAAGATTAAAATGGAAAAAAGAGCACCCGTATAAAAAAGTACATTCCGTATAAAGAAACAGGTAGAACAACCCCACGTGGGGTGGATAATAAAGCATTAAAATTGTAAAGGATGCGGAGAAGGAGATAAAGGTGCGGGGCGGATTACTCTGCGCCGTATTCGATAGTCAGCCCCCTGACAAAACTCACCCCTTCCGGTCCGCGTGCCTTTCAAAGGCTTCTGGTCGCAGAGCAGCGACAAAAGCGTCAGCAGGCAGTCCTCGTTTTTGTACCGGACCATTTTCGAGTATCACATACACGCGGTCCGTGTCCATCTATTCGTTCGAAATAACGTTTCGTCGACTTCTAAGCTAGATATATTCGAAAAGCGTACCAAAATGTGTATCCAAAGGAAATGTATAAATATAATTGAGGCAAAGATTGTAATTATTCGAATGTCACGACCCTCGCTACACTCGAAGGTATGTATTTAATGAACGAATGTATGATAAATTTATGTAGGACGTTATTGGTATATTTTTTAAAACGATAATAACTTTAATGGATCTGACGCACGCACTTTACGCTAGGTAACACAGTGATCGTAAAATATTCATCCGGTACTTCAATTTATATAGAGATTGAACAGTTCGTTATTTAAATGTTTAACACAATAAAAACAAGTCAGCAGTCACATGAAAAACATAGTCCACTTTAATTGAATGCATCGTCATTCATTGGAGGGGTCAACCGACGTGAATTTTGTCAACGGTAGCAAATAGTTCGGAGTGATACGTTTTATGAAGCGATGTGAAACATATTGAGTATCTAATCAACTTTTCATTGATTTATAATATAACTCTAGAGCTATTACGGCACTGTACACACTACGTGTTTAAATTGAAATATGGATTGAGTAAGACGCGTTCAATCCCGACATGTTTCCACACTTCACTCGCGGCGCAAACACACATCGGTATTCGAAACTTATTGGCAACGCGTAACAACATCGGAACGCCCGGAAGTCAAATAAACGGGCGCGCATATCGAATATAAGAAGTTGAATGAGATCGCGTCGCAAAATATTGGCACATGATTCGCGTATCAGTGGCCTAGTTTCCCTATCGATAACTCCCAAGGCTACGTCGGGTGGTTTAAGGGGGAGTAGGGTGGAAAGGGAGGGGGGGGGGGCACGTCTAGTATGTTTATCAATGATCTTGTACCTACATTCGCAAAGGCCCTCTAACCGATTGTTTGTCGTATATCAACAAAAGTGGAGAACATCCCTATACAACGATCGAGTACAATGGAGCTAATGTTTGAGCAAATATTTGCTCGTGTTCGGTTAACGAAATCTTGAAGGCTATATTTGTATCAATGTGTGCATATTTAATTTATTTATTGGAGAATCAAGGGTTGAATGTAGCAATAACTTTTCTCTAGCTGGTATTCAAATTGTAACGAAGCTTAATTCCAGCTTACGTTTATATTTTTTGCTACGAATATATTATTTAGTTGTTAACCTAATTATTTTGTTTTTAAGTTTGTAATAGATTTTATCGTGTTCAATATTTGTGACATTTCGAACAATTCACAAAACGGAATAGGAGAAAATGGAATAGGATGGAAAATCTAAAGTAAACGTAAAACGGTCGAGGTTATAAAATCATTATTCTTAGCAATAATTATTCATGTATTTATTTATTAGGGATTATTAGGGATTATCTTATCCTTTAAACGAGCAATTCTTGTATATATATATAAAAAACAAAACGAAAAAAACAAACCGAGCAAAGCTCGGTCCTCCTGGTATTATATGATTATTAGGGATTCATGTGAAAATATGTTTTATTTTTTTTGAAAAATATAAAACATATTTTGTTAAGGTTAGCTGTAAATTTTTACTAGATTTAGAAAAAATCACAATTACTAAAGTAAGTTAAAAGAAGCTAGAAATTCGTACATTAAAACGACTATAATGGAGGTCCTCTAAAGTGTACGTAAAATCCAAATCCACCTCAAGTCAGGGATTACAATGTCCCAGACCCTTCAACGTGTTGATCCTTACCTGAAACAAAAATAATTGTCCATTAGGATTACTCAAATGACGGTAAAAAGTCATTCAGTGAACTTTTAATAAATCTATGTTACGTCTGTCTCAACAGACATAATAATTATTATGTTCTATAATCATTCGTATTAAACCAAAAAGCCGCGAATAAAATATAAATTGCTTATGACTTATTTAAAATCGGTGAAAACCTTACAAATTTCGTATGCATTTAATATTAAAACTCATTAATAAAAAGTTGGGTACAAATTCGATGATTTTGACCGATATTTCTGTTAAGGCACAAACACTAAAAGGCATGTGACTTCCATTTGCCTGTAGAGGCGTATTGGATCATTCATGGTAAATAAATAAAGAAGTAATATTTGTTTTAAAGGTAAAGGGTTGTTTCCTGCTACTAAAAACTTAATTTATGATAGCTTACTTTCTTTGGGCATGAGTTGCCGTACTCATTTTTTTCCAATTCTGAATTATTTACCGCCATAAAATTTTTGACAGATCGTTTCTTGTTTACAAACATAATATAGTTTTGTTTAAAGTTTAAAGTATATGAGGACAATCTTTATTGATCTAATATTTACAAGATTAAATCTATCTAAAATTACATATTATCTAATAAACCTAATCCACGCGGCATGGTGCCAAGAACGCTAGCTGCATTTCCTCGCTGAATAGTTATGCTCAACCTTTGCGCGAGAAAAGAACCAGCTCTCTTGTCACCAGCCGCGGCGTTAAGCCTAGGACATAAACTTTTAAAAAATTTGATGTGCGGGGACCCCACGGACCTAATGTTTCAACAGCAAATGGCACAAATACATAATCTGAACATAAAGACTCATATTTGCGCCATTTACTTACTTCAGCTGCCTCCGATGCCGCCCCGGCCCTGACCGAAGTACCCCTTAGATGAGAGGCAGCCAAAGTGTCTACACAAGTGGCGTCCCAAACAAGGGCTTTGCCTCTCTCCCAAGGGATCAATGTTAAACCGTCGGGTCTCTTACCATCGTCGCGTTAAATGCCACAGGGCTCTAAAATAGATGGAACATTGATGGAAACAAGAGCCCTACGGATGATGTCGTTCAGGGAACCGTGGCGAGAAAAACGGCCAGCACTTTTTTGACAAGAAAGCCCGTGGAGACCAAATTTGTTTACACTGACACCACAAGGGCATTGGTGTGGTTGACAAATCGGTGACCCCAGACGGATTCCTACAGCAATGCGTAAGCTTTCATCGTCAATTAATGTGCCCAAGTTACTTGATGGTAAAGCGTGAAGCCAATAACTCGATTCTTTAGATGAGACTCCTAGGAAACGGGCACGCTCTAAATTACTTTCTAAAGATTGAAACGTATCTCTCTGTACTCTCCGCACCAAAGGAACATCCCACTGTTTTTGTAGGTACTTCCAGTGGGATATTTTCGTTGGGACAGATAGACAGCCAAGACATCCTTGCCTCCTCTGCATAGGAAAGTTCTGAATCGTGATTAAGGATGTTATTACATAAATTATTTACGCTATGCACGGAAGCAAGGAAGGCAGGTAGAGCGACACTAGAAATTTTCCTTACACCGATACCACCAAAACGAATTGGCAGCGTAGCTTGAGTCCAGCTTAATTCATTAAGAGATAAATTTAGAATTTTTTCTAGAGCTGATTTAAGATGGAAATCAATTTCGTTCAAAAAGTCACCGCATTTCCAAACTGGACTCGAGCGAAGGAGGTACGTAAATTTAGGTACAAGAATACAATGTCGCAAAATAGTAAGCGCAATATGCGAATTTAGTAAAAACAATTTATTGACATGATCTAAAAATTGACTTAACTTTAATTTTAAATGAGGTTCCAAACTGACGTTAATTCCCGGTATGATAGAGCTAAAATTTTGGGTCAAAATGATTTTGTCGGAAAAAGAAATCTTTTCGGAAAAGAAAAGTTCGCATTTGGAATTATTTAAATCGAGACCGATATTTTTAAATTGTCTAATAATTTCAATAAGATCACTTTGTACATCGTCAACTTTACCTCCCAGAGTACCATCGTCTAGGTACCAGACATTAAGTTTAGATTTCAATTTTGAAATAATTGGATTAATTCCCAAACTAAATAATGCTGGTCCTAGCGGATCTCCCTGCTGAACGCCGACAGCAGAATCAATAATATGGTTTTCATAAAATAAATTACTCTTTTCACTGTAACATTGCCAAACATAGTGATATATTTCTGGTGTATGGTTAGCCACTTCGTTCAGCAGAGTCGTTCTATCAATGGAGTTAAAAGCATTCCTTAGATCAACCTTCAGAAGTACATCCAAATCACTAGTATTTAAAGAAGTTCGAACGGAATGTACAGCCGCTTCACAGCCGCCTTTGCTTCCAAAGCCTAGTTGAAAAGGCTGGAATTTTCTTTTAAGGCCGGAGATTATGTGCCTACATGCTAATTTTGAAGTTAAGCGTCGAAAGGTAGAACCAATAGCAATAGGACGGATACCATTATCTTTTTTTTTTAAAGGCACATAATCTTGCCCCGTATAAGAAAGGAACAAATTTAGGATTTACTTTTCCGGAAAGCATTAAGTTGCATAATTTGGTAATATCATTAAGAAGCGCTCTGCCAGCATTACTCATTTAAATATAAGTTCTTAGTAAGAAGTTACATATAATTTGCAGATCAAGTCGAAAAATAAAAGTAAAGATGCAAAGGTTATACGAGTATTTCACAATGCTTTACGGTCATTTTCAATATTCTATCAGTAGATTTGGTTACTAGCGATAGGTATTTGACATTCGCTTTATTGAACTCACGTCAAAATTCTATATCCGTTAACCAAATCTACAGAAAGAATATTGAAATCGGCCATGAATCAAATTATCGCGTTATATTCTTTTCCAACCCTTTTCGTCTACGATTCAAATTTACATTGTTTATGGTAACGGAACAATATGTTGCATACCATTAAGTAACGTTCTCTTGTTTTCATGAGAATTTTGCATATTTTGTACTGTGATTTAAAAATATGCAAAATTTTAAATTTGACCATTTTATTGCATTTAATTAAGAAATGAAGATACCTAGAGCGTCAATCTTGCGATATCAAAAAAATTAAACGTTACTTGCATCACCGTCTTCCCGAGCGAAGGAGGGGCCATGGATAAATTGGCACACACAGCCGTTCTCGTACCAACGCCATGCGAAACGGTATGCATGCAAATGAGATACACACGAAAATTGCC